GAGCGGTGCCCAGCGGCGTCTGCAGGAGCAGCGGGAGCGCCTGCATGGAGCCCTCGCTCTCATCGAGCTCGCAAACTTGACGGGAGCGCCGCTCCGCCAGTAGCCAGAACACTGACTCTTTTCACTGTACAAAAGTACTGCCCAGCATACTTAAAAAGTAGATCCTTGGGCATAAGCTAAGCACCTTATTTGCTTATCATAGGCTGCTATTCTGTAGAAATTTATGAAGAATGTCATTGCCCCAGAATATGGGGTGAGAGAGAATTGCACTTTTTTTATATGGTATTGGATTTCTTGTAAAGTTTAAAATATTTTGTAAATATGGGACTTCTAGTACAGGGTAGGAAACTACATATTGTGGGAAGCTAGATTTTGCAAGTTTAATGCATTCATTGGAAGCAGTTCTCACAGGAAGCACTTTCTGAATAAGACACTTGTATGAAAAAAAAAAAAAGAATGGTACATGTAGCCAAAGAAGGTTTAAATAGATTATTTATAAGATCATTTTTAACAATGTATATTAGTATGTTTAACAATACTGTAAACACTGAAACAAGCAAGAAAGTATAAGATGTGTGTAAGATATATATTTTTAAATTGCAAAATAGTGTGCCTAATAAGACTAGAGAAATGGAAAACTGACTATTTCGGAAGACTTTCTAACTTACCGACTTCGGAAGAAAATAGGTATTTGAAGATCTTGGTAAGATGAACAGTAGTTCAGAATTTTCAAAATTGGAGTAAAATCAGTCTTATTCTATCTTTCTGAGGCTTTACAACTCACTGTGATATTTAGGTTTGAAAGCACTTGTCACCCTTAGCTTGTTAACTTGGGAACTTTTGCACATTTCATGTTTCTCATTTGCTGAAATTGAATGATTAATCTTGCAAAGTCTAGGTAACTTGGTAATTGGTATTTTTAAAAAATATTATGGGCCCTGTAATGAGATTTGGCAGTTGGATTTTTTTAATAAAAGGGACATCTACAGGGTTGTTTTGTAATGAACTGTTTTAGATCCTTTCTTAGCAAACACTAAATTTAAATGTACTGCTTGTTTAGAATTATTAGCAAATGGAAGCCTCCTATTTATATTTTCAGTGCATAAAGCCACCTTCTTGCTTTACTTCAGAATAACATGCCAAGCTATTTTGTGTTCACTAAACTTAGCTATCAGTTAAACACTGATAGTTTAGTTAATTTAGTTAATCAGTTAAACACTGCAGAAAATATTAGCGATATTTTCAAATAAGTAGGCTTCTGGAATAGTTTTAACTGCAAGTGTGTTAACTTGTGTGGTGGTTTTAAATCATTTTTTCCAAAACAGATGAAGTTTTTAAACTCACTTTATGTACTGAAGCATGAATAGAAAAATCAAGAGCTGAGTAGTTCACCTCCTTTATGTAGGCATAAGCCTCCATCATTTTAACTTGTTGTAAGCAGAAACTAAATAACATCATAGCATGGTAATTTCATAGATTGCTTAATTGGAGTAAGCTTCAGAATAAGAGAGGGAAATATGGGCTCTTCAGCGCCTTTTGTTTCTTTTTTGTATTGAAGTAGTAGCCTACAGATGTAGTTTAAACATTATCTAAAATGTAGGCTTCTGTATCTCAAAATCCCAATGTGTTGCAGTACACAGATAGTTTAAAATATGTAGCCATGGGGAAGGGGAGGTATGTAAATGTCTTGAAATGGAGCAAAAGTATGAAAGATGATAGTAACAAATAATGTGTATGATGAGGACATACTTTAAAAATGTAATTCCTCTGTACAGTAAATTACAAATCTTGAGGGATTTTTTTTTTGGTAATAAGAGAATTTATATTTGTAATGGTTTAAGAATTTTGTTTGTAATCTGGTATATAGAATTTTAACTTGGAGCACTTATGAGCAAGTAAGAGAGACTATAGTATCTGAATTTTCTTGGTTTAGGTTTCAACATTTTTCTCTAGAATTTTTCCCTCAAATATGACTTAATGAATTATAAAAAGCATCGTCAGTCTTGGGAAATTTAAAATTTGATGAACTTACCTAAAGAAGGAAGTGCAGTAAGAATTTAAAAAATACAAATACTTGCCAGTTCACAGATAATAAAATTTAAGGCCTTCAAAAGTAAGAGTTTTTGTTTGGTTATCCTGTCAGCTTTTGCCAACTATAATAGTTATATTCACAAACTTTTCATTTGTATAATTGGAAGTTTTAAGAAATTATTACAACTATTTACTATAGAAATATTTAAAATGTTCTTTTTTTGATATAAGCTGTATACTTGGACAAAATACATTGGCATCTAAAATTTGAGGTGTGTTAACACTGCTTTTTGTTTTAAAAATGTGGTTTACATTCAGATTTTTGAAGTGTTTTATGCTTCATATGGCTAAGTTGTAGTTTGGCAGAGTTAACAGCATAAGAATAAACATGCTGTAATTTTAAAAAATGCTTTGAATAAAAACTTATTTTAATTTACAGTTTAAAGTACATGTTCATTCTTAAACCCTTTATAATTTGTTTTTCTTTTTAAAAATATAATAGCCATAATATAAAAATCTAAAGATGGAAAGAAATGTCAACTATAGCCATACATTCTCCCATCATTATTATTTTGGTGCATTTTATATTTCATTCCAGTCTCATTCGAGGCATCATTTTAGCTTAGTTAGAACCATCATGTGAATTCCTTTTTCTTATTTAAAATTATGGCCTTTTAGAATATAGATATTCATTTAACTTCCTCATCTGTTTCATTATTACAGTGTTAAAAATACTGGTGTAAAAAAGTATTAAACTATTGCCAGCTCTATCCCAGGCTTTATATTAGAGTAATCAGCAACTGGGATTTCATTTCACTTGTAACCAGGATGTGTTGAATCTGCGGTCAAACCCATAGAATCCACTCAGGGCCTGATTTCTTTTCTGAGTCAAGCAAATTTAATTTTTTTATTAGTTATTTTTGGTAGGTCTTTAGTTGTTTACTTGCAATGGCAAGGTTCAGCCTGTCCAGGCTTTTGTGCAAAAGAATTTCACAGGCAACTCTTTAGTGTGAGTTGTGGTTTAAACAAAGTAAGGATGAGATTTTGACAGTGACTTAAGTTCCTGGAAGTATGTATATAGAAGCAAATTAAATGCAAATATGGTTAAGGCTGTCTTTAAAAGTGACTTTAAAATAGTCTTAGATTTCCCTTGTGGTCCACTGGTTAAGACTCCGAGCTTCCAATGCAGGGGGCTCTGGTTGATCCCTGGTCTGGGATCTAAGATCCTGCATGCTGTGCAGCATGTGTGTGTGGGGTGGGGTGGGGTGTGGTGGTGGGGAAGCAGGACTGTTTTGCAGCCAAAACTTATTTGTAGACTCACTGGAAACATAGTCGATCTTTTTGAGGCAATTAACTAAAATGACTTCCAAGTTCAGATTTTTGGGTTCAACTTGAATATGAATTTATTTTCTATTTTAAACAGTCTTATGTGTGTTTGTTCCTTTCCTGTTTTGGGTAATGTAGACTCTTCCTTTCTGGCTCTTTTAGTGCTAGTTATTTGTCAGAAGTTCTGCTTTATTTCTTATCAGTACTGAAAATGTTTTTGGTTGTTCAGTGACTCCAAAAGAAAACCATTGCATGGCATCGATATAGTTAGGCTCAAATATCTATTTAACTTGAAATCTTTAGCTTTTCAAAAAAGTTGAAATTTCAGATTTTTAAAATTAATTATTTAGAATGAAAATATGGGATATTTAATTGAAAAAATGCTACAGCAGGTAGACTGGTCAGAGTAGGCAGTTCTGGGAGGCCCTCCTTCAGTTAACATGAACAATAACCTGATGTTTAGATGCACCCATGTAGAAAAGAAATGGGTAGGGGGAGAACCTGCCTTAAAGCACCCAGAGGCAAGAAAAGCCTGGAGACTTTGCACCCACTATACCCCTAGCCATTCCACTCCTAGGTATTTCCCGAAGATATATGAAAATATACGTTCACACAAAAAAACTTGTACACGAATGTTCATGGAAGCATTTTTTTGGTAATAGCCCTAAACTGGAAACAACCAAACATGCCCATCACCTACCTAGTGAATGTATAAACAAACTGTGGTACTACTCAACAATGAAAAGACTCGAACATGGGTGAGTCACAAAAATAATAAAAGCGAAAAGAGCCTTGAAAGAGTACATGCTCATTTATATGAATTATCTGAAAAGGCAAATCTAACCTAGAGTAATAGAAATCAGAATGAAATGGGCGGGGGGTCGACCAGTGGGACACAAAGGGAAGGGCACTTTTTGGGGTGATGGAAATGTTCTATGTTTTGACTTGGGTGGTTACACGGGTGTATGCATTTGTCAAAACATCGACTGTGGACTCGTAAAATCTGCATTTCATTGTATGTAAATTGTCAGTTAAAAATATTGGAAAAAAAGAAAGCAAAACAAACCCTAAGTCTTGACGTTTCTCACCAAGGCAGCAGTTTGGAGGAAAGTAGGGTCTTTACACTCTCCCAAACTCGTCTCTGTTCTCCTTTTAGACAGAGAGTGGTGCTTTTGAGGACGAACTCCAGCCGAACCCGCTCCTCCCGCGCCGGCAGCGTGGAGCGCCCGGCAGGGTTCTCGGGCTTGTAGGGTTCCCGCCGTGGCCCTTCCTGTTTCGGCCGCGCCCTCTCCCGCGCCGGCCGGGGGCGGGGACGGAACTGGGGCAGCGCGGGCCGGAGTGCGGCCGAAACTGGCAGCTGCGGGACATGACGGCAGGCCGCCAGGCCGAGGGTGCGGGTACGGACCATGCCTCCGCGCGGCTGCCCTCCCGAGTGGCCAAGCTACTGTCTGCACTCTTCTACGGGACCTGCTCCTTCCTCCTCGTGCTGGTTAACAAGGCGCTGCTGACCACCTACCGGTGAGGCGGGCGCCAGAGGTCCGGGCGGGGTCCGCGGGGGCCCCCGGCTGCTCCGCGGCGACCTGTCCCGGGACCTTCCCGTTACGGCGCCGCGCTGTCCGGCGGGAGCTGCCCCGACCCCTGAGGTCCCCGGGTCGGGGAGAGCGGCGGGGCTGCCCCTGCCCTCGGTGCACCTTGGCCGCGCCCTGGTCAACGGGCGGGCGGGAACAGCGAGCGGGGAGCCTCACTGCTGACTCCCGTGCCAATGTGGGCGGCTGTGTGCTCGGCACATGGACCACGTTTTCACACACTTCAGAGTGTTCTGAAAACCAAACCACAACCTAGCAAAGTCATACTACTCTCAGTGAGTGCGGGCACACCTCACCGCCGGTGAGCTGGAACAAGTGATCTGAATGTGTTCTTCAAATGTGACTGTTCTTTATACAAATCAAGATGTTCAACCATCAGAAAAGTCCTGAGTGGATAAGTTTATTCGCATTGTTTGACCATTCATTCTCAGATTATCAGCATGTTCATGGAAAAATGGGGAAAACAATTAAAAATTCATATTCTATACTTTTTTGGATGAATGTGCAGTAAACCAGCAAATTTGTAGTTCCTTGAACCTATTTGTAAAGACTAGAAAATCCTGGTTAATTCTGCTTTCATTGTATTGGCATTGAAAGAGCTGTGAATTTAGACCCAACTCCACCATTTAATAGCTGTGCCTCTTAGGCCAGCCTCAGAGTCGGCAGTTTTTTCAGATGCAAAAGCTGGATAATTAGAACTCTGTGAATTACCTGCCAGATCTCTGTGCGAGCTGTCAGAAGTGAGGGCTCCTTGTAAACTATACTGTGCTGCAAGAATGTAAAATCAGAATTTTATAAAGAGCCCAAAGAGACCTTAGAGTATCTTCAGCCCAAAGAGACTGTCAAGAGTATCTTCTTTTCATTTTATACTTGCAAAAGCTGAGACCTACATGAGCTTGGCTGGTTCCACCTCTAACAGATATTTACCAAGCACCTACTATGTGCCAAGCCCATCACTGGCACCGGGGAAGCAGCTGTGAAAAACGCAAAGCTCCTGCTGTGGAGATTCCATATCAGCGGTAGAGACAGAAAATAAACAGGTGGGCTCATGAATAAGCAAGGTGATTTCAGGTATGCTATGAGAGTGCCTGGGGTGGAATGGTTGGGGCTAGAGCATTACACACAGAAGAAAATGTGCTGAAGTGAGCATGAGCTTCGCCTGCTGGAGGAACAGAGAGAATGTCATTCTGGCTAGAATGAGCAAGTGGTAGAAGGTAGGAAAGACAACGTGGAGGTAGGCAGGGAAGGCAGAATCAGTTCCTTCATTCATTCAATAATATTCACTAAGCACCTGTTATATGCCAGGTACTGTTCTAGGCATTTGCAAAGAAGTGAACAAAGCAGATCAAAATTCCGTATGTCGTGAAGCATCCATCCATATTCCTGGAGCATACCCGGAGCCTTCTAGTGGATCAGTAAATAAACTGGTAGAATTTATATTAAGTCAGATGCAGCTGTGTGGTCAGGAGAAAAAAGTAAGGAAAGGGAATTAGGGACTGTGGGCATGGGGAAGAGTTTTCAGTCTCAGCGTGATCAGTGAAGCCTCATTAAGGAGGTGACAGTTGAGCCAAGGCATGAATAATGTGAGGGAGATGGGGGAAGAACATTCCAGCATGGAAGAGTAAGGAGTTTAGGTGGGAATGGTACTAGGTAGGGTCCCAGGGTAATGGATTTCTAGATTGTGTAGGGCCTTTGTGGCCACTGCGGAAGCTCTGAGGGAGCTTCTGGAAGGTATCAAGCAAAGGAGTAACATGATCTAACTCCCTCTAGCTGCTGTGTTGAGAGCAGATATTGGGGGACCAGGGTGGAGATAGAGAGACCATGATAAATAGTTTTCACTTTAGTCTAAATGCAATTGGAAGTCCCTTGGAAGGTTTTAGCATGGGTAGTGACATAGCATCATTTGTATGATTAACAAGATTTCTTTGGCTCTTGGGTGGGTGAAAAACTGATGGTATCGGAGCCAGGAATCGATTGTAATATTCTAGATAATTTTTTTAAAATATTTTTCTGATTTTAATTATGCTTTACTATTTGACTTACATGCTGTTTATGATTGTATTGATTAATTTTAAATTATTCTTATTTTTTTAAACCCCACATTTGTTTATTTATTTATTTATTTGGCTGTGTTGGGTCTTCGTTTCTGTGCAAGGGCTTTCTCTAGTTGTGGCAAGCGGGGGCCACTCTTCATCGCCGTGCGCGGGCCTCTCACTATCGCGGCCTCTCTTGTTGCGGAGCACAGGCTTCAGACGCGCAGGCTCAGTAGTTGTGGCTCATGGGCCCAGTTGCTCTGCGGCATGTGGGATCTTCCCAGACCAGGGCTCGAACCCACGTCCCCTGCATTAGCAGGCAGATTCTCAACCACTGCGCCACCAGGGAAGCCCTATTCTAGGTAATTTTAAGTGGTGGCTTGGACTGGGGGGGAGGGTAGCTGTGGATATGGAGGGAAGGGATGGATTTGGGATAGTTTCTGGTGTTCCTAGGGCTATTGATATTCTTTACAAGGTCTATTCGTGTGTTGCAGCATGCTTGCTGGTGTCCATGGGGAACAGAAACCCTCCCTCAAAAAAATTAGAATGGATAAATAAACATGGATCATTTAATATACAATGCAAGCAAATGAAAGAAAAAGAAAACTTAAACATCTACCGTAAAAAACAAGAGAATACTATTATAGGCTTTTGGGGAGTGTTGACAGTTATGTCAGTTGAAGTTTGAAGATAAGTCTCTGCTTTCTGCTCTTGACTAAGTAGTGTGCTCACTGACCACAGCAGTCAGTGCCTCCAAAAACATGTGTCTTGTTGGAAGCAGGACCAATAAACACTGGTTAAGTGCTTGGAAGATGAAGGATAGTGTCTGACCAGAAAGAATTTATGAGACATCTCATGCTCTTTAAAATTTTGAGTTCCATGATTGAAGGAGGAAATTGAGTTTTTATCTCAGCAAGGCAAAGCCCCTTATAACCTTATAAGCAAATATTTCACATTTCTGTAATGTAATATACAATTGGAGGGCCCTGTTCAAAAAACATTGTTTATTCTCTCATCTCAAAATAGTTTAGGAGCACGTTTTTGAGGGGAAGAGGGTTGGGGTGATTTGATTATAACAATAAACCACAGAAATCTGATCCAAACATTAGCTGTTTGAGGGCAGAATGTTGTGTTGTAGGATAGAAGGAAGGACCTTTCTGTAGTCACCTAATTTGCAGGATTACGGGAATGTAGCTCAGGGGATGTTTTTTTCTCTTACAGTTTGAGTAGATTGTGTCTGGTTGGGGTACAAGACTGATGGGTGGTCTTAGTTATTTGTTAGTTTTAGGTCGTTGAGATGCTAAATTTACCTGGTTGGACAGAGAGAGCCTTTGAAGGACTTGGACTGTCAGACCCTGTTGGGGTGAGATGGAGAAGCACGAATCTGTGGCCACTTGGTGACACTAGTGGTTCTTCAGAATCACATTCATGAGGGTTGTGCAGGCAGTCTGGAGTTGTTTTTTTTTGTTGCTATTTTTTTTTTTTTTTTTTTTGCGGCACGCAGTCCTCTCACTGTTGTGGCCTCTCCCGTTGCGGAGCACAGGCTCCGGATGCACAGGCTCAGCGGCCATGGCTCATGGGCCTAGCTGCTCCGCGGCATGTGGAATCTTCCCGGACTGGGGCACGAATCCGCAAACCCTGAGTCGGCAGGTGGACTCTCAACCACTGCGCCACCAGGGAAGCCCTTGTTGCTATTTTAATACTGTTCTCTATGACATGCGAAGATTTACTAATGATGCTTAATAAAAAATATCAACTTAGCTGTATTCAGTTCAACAAGTATTTGCTCCATATTTGCTGTGTGTCTACTTTTATGCAATCGAAGGCTTTAGGATCATTTAACACAGTGGTTTCCAAACTTGCTTGGTAATGTGAATCACTTGGAGAGTTTTTTTTTTTTTTTTTTTTTTTAAAGCTATTGAATCCGAGTCTCCAGTGGTGGGTGCTGGAAGTCTATATTAAAGAACAAAAACAACTCCTAATTTTCTCTTACTCTGATGAAAACCAGCTCTCTCCTGAAGATGCTGTTCCATTTGACCCCTGGAAAGGAGCTGGATCCTGGTCACACCCCAGGTGCTCTGTGGAGAGTCCAGACTCAGCACTCACTTTCTGTCCTCTCTGTAATGGCTCCTGAGCTTCTGTGGCTCATTTAGTGGAGTCCTGGTATTCCTCTCCACCCAGACTCGCATAAGCCTTCAGGACTTTGGGATACACATGCTGAACCATCACAGCCCGCCTTGTCCCACATCCCGTGGTCACTCCTAGGGCCGTGTGCTCAGTGTGACCCTGCCAGCCACTCCAGTCTCTGTGCAGGATGTCCACACTCTGTGCTGCAACCCAGCTCATTTCTGCCACATCGCCCTTTAGGCATCCCTTCCCTCCTGGTCCAGCAGGAGGGCCCCTGCGCTGGAAACCACAAGACTCCTTTCCAGCTCCCGTCTTGGCTGGTACTTGTCCTGCACAGCCTACCTTCTGCATCCTTCCTTCAGCATTGAGCAGCTCCGACTGTCCTGGGAGAAAAAACACTTCCGGGCTGGCTGGGTTGATGTTGAATTGATGATCACAAGCCTCAACCGGCTCTAGTACCACCTGCTAGTTTCTTCTGGGGGATTGCTTTCCTTGTCACAGAAATGACTCCTTCCCACTTTCTCTTTTACGCTGAAACCTCCCACACCCCCATCCTCCACTCTCCTCTGATACTTCATTGAGGAAATTGAAACCGTCAGATGATGTCGCCTTTCTCCTATGATGAAGGGAGTATCTTGTTCCTGTGGAAGGTCCAGCTCCCCACTCCTGGATGTCCCCTTCTCCCGGCTCCTTTCATTATCCTTCTCTATTCTGCGTCAGCAACCTCTGTCTACCGGCTTAAAACATGTTTACGTTTCTCAAGCAAAAATAA